AGCCCTCAGCTTGTATAAATTGGCATAGTTCCACTGAATTTGATAAAATTATGTTGACTAAAACCAACAGAGATTATGAATTAATTAGTTATCAGACCATCACTCACTTGAATTTCTGTAATGATCTCCTGTGATTGTTTTAGGGACACAATCAATGTTCCGGAGGGGGCTGCAAAGTCTTTCTTCTCTAGACCACAGCTCCCTCCTGRTCTTTAAGTGCTGTTTATCTGTCTCCTACAGTCATATCCTGAATATGTGTCTTAAAGTTAGTTCTGTTAGTGCTCAGCAGCAGTTAGTGGCCTTCGTGCCCTGGGCGGGACGGGACAGCAGCTGGATAGCTTCAATGTGTCTGTCAGTATGGTAACTAGCAATGTATTGGTACTRAGGCGCTTGGGCTGGATGGCATTTAAGCTTAAATCTATTACCATGAACTCGAGGCTTTTCAAGACTCACTGTTTTGAGGCAAATACAGTAATTAGCATGGGGTGTACTTTATGGTAATTAGGAATGTTTTACACATCAGATGGTGTTAACTTTTGAGGGCAACCACCTGGACTCAACTCTTTGTAGCTAATATGAAGAAATATAAAATAATAATATTTCAGTGGTACAAAATGCCTATGATAAAATATTTTAACTGTTTAACCACTAAATAATAAAGTCATCAAGTCAATTGGCCTAACATGATTTTTTTTTGTGATAACTTGTTGTTGCTACAGGTCATTCTGTAGTTTGTTATACTGTAGTTTCTGCAGTCTAGATATAAAATATATGTATATTGTGGTAAGCTATAAAGTGGTGTAAAAGGGACTATCATAATAGCTGAAAATTGACATTTACCTGGATGTCCTGCCAACATTTTTAGTGCCAGCTTGGATGTAATTTTAACTGTATCTTATGAATCAAAATCAGGAAAGGTCAGCATATGTATCTTTACTGTATGTTCTAGTTGCAGAGCTAGGGWTTTATTTCTGGTTACTTTGCATCATCTGACAAAGTTCTGTTGTAGTCTGTGGTGGTGTGGATTAGAGATCCTGCACCTGAAGCTTTCACCAGATTTTTGATGCCAGTTTAGATCCAGACCTAGAAGAAATTATTTGATGATTCCAGTGACAATATAAAGGCAATCTGTTAATCAACAGATGTTGCAGAAGTGCTACAATTTTCTAACACCTCTTTTACTAAGAGCTGTGGCTCTTTCTAAGTGGTGTGGCTTGAATATTAGTCCTATTTTCCTCCTCATGGCCAATATTTCTTAAGTATAAACTTCATTTATGTATATTTGGGCTAAGCACACTTGTATTTTCCATTTGTGATTACAAGTTGTTATGCAGTGAGGACTCTAATACTGCCGTGAAAATCTTGAAATTTATAGACTTCATATGGACTGCAGGAAGGATTTTGTAAGAGAATGATCTTGTGGTGACAAATTTGTCACTTAGAGGAGCCGTTATGTGTTATGGCTGCTGCATGAACAAAGAATAAGGCAACAATAATGTGAAATAGTTCTGYCTCTTTAGTAGAATTCTTATTGGCCAATTATTAAATTTTAACTGAATTCTTTTTTTAAAAAAACTGTACCATTTGCTGTATTGCTGAACTGTAAAAAAGGACAATGTTTTAAGCATTCCCTTGTTATGTCTGTGCACCTCGAAAGCTYTCCTCACTTATGTATGGGATGAAACTTTTTTCTAGCTCATGAAAAACTTGCTGGTTTCATGTTTGTTCTTTCCATTGCCTCCTTGTAGTCTTTCCTTTTAATTAAAAATAAAGAATGAAAGGGGAGGGAGAAAAGGAAATACAATGGCAAGCTTTTATTTTTACTGAATTATGAGTTCATGACTACTGATATATGTTCCTGTGGATTTTGTTTCAAAACGTTAGTGAAATACAGGTTTTATTTTGGGGATAAACTATATTTTGGAGTAATTGCTCTATGACCAATAAATGGCAAGGACTGCATTTCAGAGGAATTAAATCACCTACTTCAAAGTAGTAAAGGACTTATGGACATCTGTGTATCTATGGAATAATGTTAGATAAATCTGTTAATTATGTGGTGCCATTAGAAATGCTATTTTTGGCTGAAAAGGATCAGTACTTGCCTGTAAAGTAAGGAGACATCAGACTATTTCAGCTAGCCTTGGCAGGGCTGATTGGAATGCGGTCTGCATTTCTGGCATTTGTGCCTAAGGAGGATGCAAAGGAAGGCTAAAAAAATGAAAAGTTAGACAAAATTATATAAGGCTTTAAGTAAAAGAAAGGGCAAGATGTACAAATTAACTTGAAAAAAACTATAATATAGTACATCCCATTGTGTAAATTCTTAAAAATTAAGTCTACATAGTAATTCTGCGAAGCAACAAAGATAAACATAAATGCAATAGGAAAAAGAAACTGTGTTCATGTGGAGGGGAGAAAGTCTAGATTACAAGTTTGTCTCTTTTTCTGAAAGACATAGGATTGGGATGTGAGGTTTAGATACTGCTTCCAGTTTAACTATAGACTATTTCTGTATTAAACTCATACTGAATAGCACTCTGCAATCTGTAAAGGAAAAATGTTAGCATTAGCTCCTTCTTGGCGCTGTCAGGCTGCACCAAAAAGTGAGATTAACTGGTTCTTCATGCCGTAGTCCTGTATAGCACAGACAATTTCCATCATAGACATCCTTATGGCTTACAGTTTAAAATGCAAGACCAGTGAAGCAGATGATACAAACTTGATGCAGAAACTCTTTTTATATGTTTTGTTTTTTTCTTATTCCAGAAGTTGCTGGGGGGGGGAGGGGGGGCGGAGGGGAAGCATGGTTACTTATAGGTAACGAGACAGGCTCTTGACTTCTAGCAACCCCTCAGTACCACCCGCCCCTGTTTCCAAGCTCAGTACTGAGGACACTTCTTGAGGAAGATTTGCCCCACTCTCATGTGACAGGCGTATTCCTTCTCCTCTCCCTCCTTCTTGTAGAACTACTGCTCTTGCTGTGCCAAGGTCCATTGCTTCCACTGGAACTTTGATGTGCTTGACCTAAAAATGAGTGAATTATTTACGATGGCACTGAGGAGACATTTTATGCAACATCACTGTGGCCTATGGGAGGTGGTATCAGTACATACATGTGCTATTAACCATCAAAAAAYACAGAAATGATCACGAAACCTTTCCTCAGTGTTTTACAGCTACAGTTACTTTCTAGGGATTGTACTGTGGCCTTACAGCACAAGGCAGATGCTCCKGTGGGCTGTTGGGTAATGCTGTGTCATGCCGCAAGTGAGAGTCCTGCCTCGAGAAGCAGGTTTTCAGTTCTCTATCTTGGTATGAAAAGATGATATCATTGAAAGATTACTAGTAATTTATGCTAGATACTATTTGAGCTGAGAGCTTGTTCTGTAGGAATGCATAAAAACATGTAGTCTGGGTGAAAATCTGTGTTTTGCCATTAATTGGGTGTGTACTGGCTGTGGCTAGGTTGGTGCTGTCTGAGGTTTCTTCATGGTTCTCCACTAGCAGGTGAGTTGTTGCTACTTAGTATTTAGTGAGTGTAGGAAATAAAATTAAGGTAGAAATCCCTTAGTGGGGAAAGCACTTGTGTAGCCTGTTTATACTGAGAACTGTTAATTGTASGAAAGGTTATAAATGACTTTATTTTCTCTCTGCACTGCAACTGGTGTGTCTACACAACTATCATTTAACCATTCCCAGTTACAGCTGGAATGGTTCCTAGTGTTCTCCTGTGCCTGCAGGTGATTGCCTGCCAGGATGCCAGTTCTTTCCTGTGCTGTCAAATTCTACTGTCTTGTCTTCTGGTAAGTCTCCTGTCTGTTATAAATGCATAGTACCTCTGTAGCTTGCATTAAACAATGCATTGCAGAAACAGAATTTCATCTATTCTAGCTTGCAGTATTCAATCTTGGTGAATATTCTTGTCAGAACATCCTAGCTACAGCTTAGTTTGAAAGTTACCTTCTAGGTGACTTACCACTGAAATAAATATTGCAAATAAGTAAAGCCCATATTAAAAGCAGGACTCAGTTTTATATTCTAAGTTCCCATTTCTGTAGGAATGAGTAAACATAAAGATACAGGCTTATCTCTAAACAGTGTCACTGAGAATTCATACATCCATAGTGCCCTTCCTGTTAGCATTGAACTCTGCGCCTCTGGCAGCAATAACATCCTGCAAGCAGCAGAAACCTGGATGGTGTTGTCCTGAATATTTTGGAGTTAAAAACAAACAAATCCCCAACCATGAATCTTGCGGAGTGCCCAAACACGGGATTAATTCAGTTTCACGTCAGTGTGGTTATCTCTGAGGAACTGATTTCTCTCCCCCTCGTCCAGGAATGCAGCTTCAAATAAAATCAGACTTGCATGGTATTCAAGAGACCTTTATAACTGAAATATATATTTATCATATAATTAGACTGCTAATACAAAGTTGAAGAACCAAGTATGGATGGATGTATCTTTCTGTGATAGATTTGATGTTTTATATCTGTTTAGCAAGTACAGTGGTTAAGAGAACCATTGTGTAGCTTATTATTTATAAAAGATCCTCAGGCTTTTCTCAAACAATTGCTAATGGACGTCTCTTTTACAAGGAGGAACAATAAAAATGACCTGTGATTACTGAACTTTAGGAAGTTGTGCCTTCTCTGGAATATTTGACTTGCAACTAAATCTAAAGGCAAAACTTACCTTGGAGACCTACATGGTGTTAGAAATTTACAATTGTCCTGTATGTATGTGTGGGGTAAGGAAATAAAGACAGAGTAGTGTGCTTTTTAATTAAACCTTTGTTGTTATATTGCTATCAAATTCTGAGCATGTGACTTGGGTACCCAAAGCTTATACTAAGTTTTACGGTTTAACTACAGTCTGTTATAGTTACTACCAGAAAGACAGTTCTTTATTCCTGGTTTATTGTTTAACACAAAAAAGAGGCAAGTCCAATAATGTTGTTTGATAGTGTTTATTAAATCCTTAAGCTTAATGTGAAACCAATCCTTTTTCTGCTTTTTCTGCTATAATATTTTATCTATATCTTTGAATTGTCTCCTGTTGGTACGTTTATCTTGACAAGACAGCGGAGTTTGTATACTAAGCTTATATATACTAAGCTAAGATGATGTTAAATATCTTTCCTTCCTGTATTCAGAGTCCTCAGGAATGCAGGTACACAAACAATTCCCCCGATAGCATTGATTTCCACATACATACTGCTTGTACATTCTGGTGGCTTGACGAGCCTGAGCTCTGGGGACGACACTGCTTCAGAAAAAGGCAGCTTTTTTCATCCCCTATTCCCCAGCCGCCTGACTTAAGCACCCTTAAAAACAATAGACAAAAAAAGTGAACATTCTCAACTACTTTTCAACCAGAAAATACCAAGCTATAAGAACGTGCTTCTCGCTATGGCTCTCAGAGATGATGTTCCTCTTATCGGCAACTGTAAAATGTGGGGCCACAGTTGCATTCATTGTTCAGTGAGCTTGTCCACATAGTTAAACCCACCGACAGCAATGAATGTTGATTGTGACCTTTTGTGTAAAGCTTGGCAAGGTGAGGGGGAGGCCTCGTGTGCTGGGTAGGTTGTTATCTTCGGTGGTAAGGCCTGAAAGCATGAAGTAAGGAGGAGGATGGTTAGCTGGAGGGTACAATCAACGGTCGATGGTTTTCACTTTAATTCCAAACTCACCGACAGCGTTGAATGTTCACTGAAGCAACCACTACAAGAGAACTCCATTGACTTGACAGCATCCTTAAATGTCTGAAAGGAGGGGGGGAAGATCAAAATTGACACAGTGATTTTAATCGCACAGATGATGCAATTTCTGTCGTTGTTCTCTTACCGACACCAATACCCTTCTCTGCCCATCCTATTTCAGTCTTCAGGCAGGAAGCTGGCAGTTTTCCAAGCTTCTTATCTATGGAAAGAAAAGATATTTATTCAGGTTTTAACTATATAGGTTGGGCATCCCGGCAGAAATGGTTTAATATGGTCTGTTTTATCAGAATGAATTTTGTGTTGGCAAATAAAAACAAAAAATCCCACTATTTATCAAAGCTGGCAAAGAGATTATGAATCAGTGTTGCCCAATTGACATAAAATGTCTTCTGTTGATGTGGTTCAGTTGGAATTAACCTTGTTTAGAATTGATGAAAAAACACTTGCTTTTAAGACTTGATTTCTTCATAAACTTCATAGGGACAGAAGAACTTGTTTGTCTTTCAATGTCATGCGTGCAGGACCTGCTACAATAGTTTTCAGAAGGGAGAAAAATGAGCTTATGTCAAGGTTTGATACAAATTCATTCTCTTTTTTATCTTAAGTGGCAGCATGCTGTTGGTATCAAGAAATGAATCATCACAAAGTGAAAGGCTCATTCTTAAACTTCCAAGATAGCACAACACCGATTTCCAATTTTGCCAACTCTCCAATTTGCCCCTTTTCTAAAAGGGGAAAAGCCTCAAGTAAATGTAGCGTGCTGCAGTTTTCATCTTATTGAAAAGATGTGTCTTCACTGGGAGTGGGTGAAGATTTTAGAGAACAGATTAGAGGGCAAGGGTGACAGCCTAGAAATTTACTGTGCTTATGTGCAATTGTGAGCCAGCTTCTTTTGCAGAAGAGATCGGGCTCCTGAAGCCGCTTGGTCTGAGTGCTTTTCCTTGGGGCTGTATGTGCCTCACAGCACTCAGACTGACTGGTTCATTGGCTTCCATGAACTGCTACTTATAAAACTACCTTGTCTTTTGGTAAAGTATTTAATGCTCTGTTTTTTATAACTTTATTTTAACATAAAACAAATGCTCTTTCTTAAGGAGCACAAAGGGAGCCAGAACCTAAAGACCGCATGCAATTTATAAGTGTGCTGCTTGGGTAAACTCGACAAAGAAATGTCATGACAAGCACCTAGCTGTTTCTTTCAACTAATTGCTTGGTAGATATTTTTCTTGTTTAGCTTAACTGTTTTCTGTCAAATGAATCTAAAGGACAGCAAGTCACTCATATCTGCTACTGGAGAGCTAGACATGAATGGGATGAAACACATCTCTGGTAGATTAGGCCTATTTTGTGTAGGAATGCTGCTGTGATTATGAATGTGTGGGACTTCAAAGCAGTGTGGCGGCGAGCTCCTCTGCTGACGCAGCAGCACGGGATAGCTGCTGCCCATGAATGCGTTAACCCTCGAGCTGCATTTTCCATTTGTTTGTACTGGCTTGAGCACAGGAACCCCATGGATGTTAGGGAAGGAGTTCTGGGTTACACCAGCATGAACGATGAGAGAATAAGGCTCTTGAGCTCAATAGTCTTTTGTACTTATCTGCATGTGTTCAACATTGTTCTAGCCAAATGAATAGACTTGATGGTTTAAGGTCACTCGTGTTTACCATTCTCCTTGTTATAGGCCTGCTTCTGTAAGACACTTCTTTTAGTGTTATTTGTATGCTCTTACACCCTGCTTCCCTCTGCCACTTCATATCTCAGTACGGGGCCTGAAGCCTGGCCCTTTGCGATGGGTGTAGGGAAGGAGGGGAGCTGTGCTGATGTTACGGCTGGGTGAAGCGCTTTCAAGTTATTTTCACTGCTTACTGTTACGTTCCCCCTYCCTGCACTCCTAGTGGAAAAACCTCAGTACATCTTGGTTGCCCAGTCTGTGTTAAAGGGGATGAAGACTTGTCCAGAGCACAAAATAAGTAATTCTGTGTTACAGCCCTGATGTGTGCAGGTTGTGCCGGGTAAAAATGCTTTCATCTTCTGTCATCTGGTTTTCATTTTTTATCCCCCCACTGGGCTTAGCTAGCTGTGTTACAAATGCCAGCTTTATTTTAAGTTTTATTTCAGATCTGCAGGCTTATGAGAACATTCAGACTGGATTTTTTAAATATTTTTTTATCTTTTAATTTAAGGTTAGTAGGTCATAAATAAACCAGAGCACTTCCCTGGCTATGAGCTACAGAGTCATAGTGTACATGAAATATCACTTTAAAAAATTAAAACAAAAAAATAAAATAAACCCGGGAATCTAATGTGAATTGACAGAGGCACATGAGGAAGTAGTTCATTGTGTTGCCATAAAGGCCATAGGGATTTGGACTGCTGGAGTTGCCTGTCTTATGAATAGATAAGGTATCTTGTCTGATGACCTGTACCTAATTTAAGTGACTGCTTTTGCCTGCCCTTCCAGAGGGCAATTGTGTGAAATAGAGCATCTCATCTTCAGTCTTCAGTTCTTTTCCTCCTCTTGATGGCCTGACCTAAATGGAAGATATGGGTGGTGTTCTGCACACACAAACAATTACCTCACTACTAGGCAAGCTGCATCTTTTGTTCTAATTAGCTAGCTCCTGCTTTGATTTCTATATATCTCAAATCAAAARGCAACTGTTCAGCTTCATTATACTGGTTAATACTGGCAACTAGATTTTGTCATATGGTACACATGCTTAACAGCTGCTGTGTATAAAACAAGAATAAAAGCTCCCTTTGCCGGCCTAGGAATGGTGGCTGGAGCCGTAAGGAACTCTTCTGCCCTGCTTAGTGCCCCACTTCTTCCTTCTCCCTTTCTTCCTTCCCCACACAAGCGCTCGTGGATATTTTTGTGTGGAGATGGCAGATGTTACACAGGTCTGGCTCTGCTGGTGGCATCACTCTGTGTGTGTGTGAAGCAGCCTTGCTAATCCTCTGGCAGTGCAATCCTTCGGGAACAAATATGTAACTGAATTAACAGATCTCAGGTTGGGGTTTATTGAATTTCCCAACTCTTAGATCATTTCCCTAATGATGCATTAGAATAATGTATACAGTTGTACATGGTCAGAATAGTATGTTAGCAAACTTCGGTGGTAGATACTTAACATCTTTTTSTTTTCCTGACATTAAATTTTTCCTGGGAGGGGGAATAAGACCTTTYGAAGGCAAATACTCATTTTTCAAAAAGAGACACCGGAACAATGGTATTAATGCTGATACTGCCAAGTTATCTTGGAGGCACAGTTGTAGGCTGCWTGCATTAATTTCATCTCCCACTTGCCCTCTGCCACAGTCTGTCAGCAAGTTTCCAGTTACACGCTTGGGGACAGGAAGAAATGCAGTGAGGCTGGATGTATTTGTAATTTTGTCACAAAAGTGAATTCCAGTGGCAGTGTCTAAAAATGGCACTAGCGCACTTGGGATCAGATTCTCAGCCAGTGTAAAATGACACAGCTTCCTTGACGTCACTGGAATCTGCCTTTACACCAGCTGGCATCTGGAGGTTCATCTGGAAAAAAAGTGAAGTAGAAGGATCAGTCATTAGTTTTTAGTATCCTTTTTATTTTTCATCTCTGATTAAAGTATCCTTCAATGCCAAATCTTCAGGTACCTGCAATAAATTAACCACGATAATAAATCTTGTTAAGCATTGACATTATGATGTGCTTCTACTAAAGGAATTAAATCCAGCTGACTGTATTAGAACTTCAAGCTAGTCTTGCATGTCYGCACGCTATACGCTGAAAGAAAAAAGGCTTCATTGGACAAAATGAAGAGTGTGCTTTTTGGTGACCACCTTGAGGTACAAACAGCAAGAACAGGGAGCTGCTGTTTTGGATCACAGCGTGCACAGTCCTGTGGCTGCCGCAGTGCTCTGCAAACACGCACTCCAGTTGTTGGCGCGGTGTGTGCAGCACAGGATTGACTGTAATTGTTTCTAGAGAAATCAACCAGACAATCACAATGTTTTCATTCTGTCTTCAACCTATGGAAACATGGTAACATCTTTRTAAACTTCTCCTGGAAGAAGATGCATTAGGGAATATTTTCCCATTTACAGGAGTACAGCTGTCTCTAGAGAAGAGCAGCAGCTGTGCAACATCTTGAAGTGCTAGTGCCTGCCAGCCYGAGGCAGAAGGGAACATGGTGCTTGCCTTGTTTAAATGCTGCATTCTGTAGGGTTGCTTTTCCTTACATTGTGGTGTGAAGAAATCTCAAGTTATGCAGAACTATTCTCATGATTGCCAGTGAAGTAGGAGTGGACATACCAAAAAAGCATTCTGAAGTGAAATAATAACCACAAGATCCCTTTTAAACCAAATGAAAGCATGGTGGCATGCATGCAGATTGACCTACAAACAGTCTGCATTTTGTGGAGTCTTCTCAAAATTCTGCTCACTCCAAACCAAGTACGTCCCCAAATGTGCTAGTTCATCTGTTTCTAGCCTCTGACAAGCTTTCTGAGCGAGTCTGGTGTGAAAAAGATGACTGTGCTTTTGAAACTAAACCCATCAGATAATATTACATGTCTACAACATGTCAAAGAGAAGGGATGCTGATTAGCCGAGCTAATTTAGCAGCAGCTCATATGTGAGGAGTACTGGTGATATCAATTCAATCAAATATTTGATTGCACCTTCAGAAATAATTTAATTGCAGAGTCTAAGGGAATGCTTTGCCCATTAGAATGYTGCCTGGCTAGTGATTTATTAAAACTAGATATTAAAGACACTTCCAAAACAAAATTTAATGTAAAAATACCCAAGATAGCACTGCCTTTTTGCTTACTGCGTTAAACTTATTGTACCTCATACACTACAAGTATTACTTGACTATTATATTTAGAAAACCACAATTACATTTTTTTCTTTTTCTAAGCAGGATTTTATATCTGGGCTGCTTTGCCTGACTATGCAATTTATGTGCATATTACTTCAGGTTTTTAGTCCTGTTTGCAATTGTAAGAGCTTTTCCAGCATATAAGGTTGCAGCTCTGGACCTGTTAACTTTGTCTTTTAATTTAAAGACAAGAAATGGGCAAATAAATTTTAATACTGTCTGCACTTTCCCAGTCTTTTTGGACTACAATTTCACTTTTTGTTGCTGGAACACATTACTATTTATGGAAGATATGCACATATTTCAGTGTCCATAAATCATATGCAAACATCT